TGCAAAGAGTGACAATGGGTAAAGACCTATTAGCTGATTTATTTATGGTGATGGACTGTGATGTACATGAGTCTACAACTGTGTTTTGGCTTTGACTTGGTGGAGATGGTTGTTTAATACGAGGAAAGCTAAGGTTTATTATTGTTATGGAGAAAGAGTGATAGTCACTCTTAGTTGTGGATGATGGTTTATGAGATAAGAAAATGGTGGCAATGACTTTTGACTATGAGTGGTGTTTTGTGAAACGAAAAAATGGTGGCAATTTTGATAGTAGGGTGACTATTTTTTTTTCATAATGGATTAAGAGAAGTGGTGGTTTGGTATTAGGTTGTTTGGATAAGAAGAGAGACTAATATATAGGTATGACAAGGTAGTTATGGAGCTAATGTGTTGGCTAGGTTTTGAGTTTGTGGTCTTAATGGCTAGGGTTTAGTTGTGGAAGATGGTAAATAATGTTTTTTCTCGAGTCTTTCATTTTATTTTTTTTAATTTATTTTCTCTCTACTCATCATATTTAAAAAGAAAATGTTTTTTTTCTCTTTTTTTTTTCAAATAATTGTTAATGCAAGACAAGAAAGAGTTTGCCTTTATTTCAAATCTCTATAAATAAGAGCAAATGATTGAGATTTGCTACTAAGAGAAAGAGATCTAGGTTGAATTTTTTATAGAAAAAACAAGAAATTTAAAAATCTAAGCAAAATTTAGTAAAAACACTTTGATCATTTATGTCCCAATTTGATCTAGATCCAAGTCTTTGAAGAGAATGAAGGTGATGGAGTTGCCTTGTTTTTGAAACATAATTAGGGTACTTTTTAAAAGGACTTCTTGCCTTAAAATTGGGTGTTCATGCTCTAAAATTAGGTTGGTTCAAATTTTTACGACAATTATACATTAGATACTTGGCTTAAATCAAATGTTACGACTCCTATTTCTACCAGATTGGTCATTCCATTATTCAATTGTTAGGTAACTAAAACTCTGACAATGAGGAAAAAAAAATGAGGTTGGTGGATATATAATTTTAATTTGATGGAAAAATTATAATATTTAATATAAGGTCATTTTATTTATTAAATAAAAAATAATAAAAAATTTGTAAATAACTAGGTAATTTTTGTTGATTTTTTTTTTGTGAGGATATTAAATATTAGTGATCATATAAAGTTTAAAATGCAATGTGTAATTTTTCAGAACTTATTAGACAATTCAATTATGACCAAACCATAGGGTATTAGAGATATTTTTTTTCTTATGTTTTTGTTTAATTAAATTTATTTTTTAAAAAATTATAATTTTAAAATATTATGAATATTTTTTTTAATTTCATCATTTAATATTAGATTTATTAGGGATTGAGTTTTATAATTTATTTTAATTTTCTTTCTATGAGGTTATCTTTGTTTCATTATTTAGGTCATATGTTTTCTATGTTAACCTCGGTTGACTTGAATCTTTATTTTTGATATTTTTAATTGATGTTCTCAATTTCATTACAAAGTTATCTTGAACTCATGACCTAATTTGTGAGTTTTCTATATATAACCCTAGTTGACTTGATTTTTTTAATTGTTTTTTCAATTTCATCCTTTAATATTAGGTTGATTAGGAATTAAATTTCATAATTTGTTTCCATTTACTTTCTTTAAGGTTGTCCCAGTATCATGATCTGAGTTATATGTTTGACGAGTTAATTCAAGTTGACTCAAGTTTTTTTGGTCGTTTTTTAAAATTATTATTTTTTTAATTTTATCCTTCAATATCTGGTTGATTGAGAATTAAGCTTTATAGTTTATTTTGATTTACTTTCTATGTGGTTATCTTAATCTCACGAACTAGGACATAAGTTAGACAGATTAATTCGGGTTAAATAAGGTCTTTTGTTTTTTAATTGATTTTTTTTAATTTCATTCTTCAATATCTGATTGATTAAAAATTGAACTTTACAATTTATTTTGATTTACTTTTTATGGAGTTGTTCCTGTCTTATAACAGAGGTCAAATGTTTGACAAGTTATTTTGGATTGAGTCAAGTGGTGTTGTTGTTCTTTTTTAATTGATTTTTTTTCTAATTTTGTTTTACAACATGAGGTTGATTAGAAATTTAATTTCATAACTTATTTCTATTTTTTTTATGAGGTTATCATAGTCTTATGACTCGAGTATATGATTTGACAAGTTAATTTAGATTTACCCGAATCAATTCAATAAATTATTATCTCATTATTTAAAACAAAGATGTTAATGTTTTTGAGTTGAATTATGTTTTTACTAGTCATTCGAGTTGTTTTTGAACTCATCAAGTGGACCGATTTATATCAAGTTAACCCCATATAATTTAATTTTTTTTCACTAAAAAAGAATGTTAATAATGTCTAAATCTTTTATGTTTTTTTTTTTAAATCATACCCATGACATACTTCTAATTAATGATATAGTATAATAATGACAATACATTAAGGCCTCGTTTATTTCATGAAAAGTGGTTTTTTGAAAATCACCTTCCAATTCCTGAGTTTTTTTTTACTATTAAAAAAGTTAGTCAACGAAAAATATTTTTCAATCAAAGAAAAAATTGATTTGGTTTTCAAAAAAATGTTTTTCTTTTATTTTGAGTGGAGAGCACTTTTTAAAAATTGTGAAAAAATTAAAAATATCATGTTATTTACTAATTATATCAAATTTGGTTCTCAAACTTTTGATTGCTATATATTTTGTTTTGAATCTTTTTTTTTCAATTCTATTCCTTAGAATTTGATTTTGATATCAACTTTGGTCCTTATTTTTATGATTGTTATTTGTTTTTCTCTTATTATTTTTTAATTGAAATTTTTTATCTATTACATTTAATCCTCATTCTTTGATTGTTATTTATTTTATTTAAAATAATTTATGATATTGTAATTATTATTTTTTATTTCATCATCTTTTAATTTTATTCTTATTTAATTTTTTAATTTGTAAGATTTGTTTCTTATTATTCTAATAAACATGAAAAAAATATTAATAAGTTATTTTTTAACTTATTTTTCATGACATAGTTAAACACTAGAAAGTATTTTTCAATTTATTTTTCATGATACTACTAAATATCAAACATTAATTTATTTTTCAAAAATTTATTTTTTAAAAAAACTATTTAAAAAAAATTATTTTCCACTAAATAATCAGGATTAAGTTAAAAGTGATTTCAATGTAAAAACATTGAAAAACATTAAAGGCTTTTCCAAATGACGAATGAAAATTGAAGTTTTAAAAATTGATTATAAACAAAACAATCATATACCCCCAATATTTATAATTATTGCGTGTTTATAAAAAAAATGGTTGAAGTTTCTTAATTGTATAAGATAAAAATAAAAATAAAAATAAAAATAAAATAACTTACTTTTATGCAAACAAACTCTTTAATTTGAACATTCGAGGATCTTAGAATACCTTTCTATTTGTAAAATAAAAAGAAAACTTCCATGTGCACTTCAAATTATAAAATCCTCTGCATTTCTCATGTAATGCTCGCTGAAATAAACCCATGAGTGTAAATTCTTCTATAAATCACAAGTAAACAGAAATATTAATACTTGATCACTTGTTTATTCTTCAACACTTTACTACTAATTTTCAAACTTAAGTCAGAGAACATGATAATCAAATGCAGGCGGGAAAAAGGATACGTTCTACAAGGACTAGCTATTGAGAACAGTAATGGAAGTGGAGTTGAAACAAGGCAAAAAAAAAGAAGAAAAGGTTTGAACTTTGAAAAGAGACAAAAAAAGACAAGAGTTCTTAGAGAGGTGAGATAGAGGTTGGATTTCCAAAGATTCACCACTATCTTATTGCATTTATTATCACCATATCACACTGCCCACTCGTCCTTTCCCCTAAAAATTACCCTTTTGTCACCTTGCTTCTTTTTTTTCCCTTCACTTATTGGTACCAGCTTTCTTTCAAACTTCAAACTTCAAACTTCAAACTTCGGTCTTCCTCTCTCTAACTTCATATTTTTTAGGCTACTACTCCCTTGTCTTTAGTGTTTGTGTTTGAAAAAACAAGTATCGTAATTTTGACATTAAGCAGCTCCCTCTACACCTGTTAACAAAAGGGTGTTTCATTGAATCATTGATTATATGAATACTCTGTCTCTCTTATGACCCACAAGAGGAGCTGACTGGTTTAAGGAACAGTTCTAGTTCTGCATTCAGACAGATACCAAGGTGAGTTTCTCATTTTTTTGTTTTGTTTTTGAGAAGAAAAGCAATTTATTTGTATGTAACAATGCATGTAGGTGTAGTTGATGAACGTGCAAAACAAAAGGAGTTTCTTTGGATCTCATTGTTATTCTTCCTTTTCCTTCTGTTTTTCTGTAAATCATGTGTGCTAGCTTGTGGAGTTTTTCTTCTTCTTCTTTTTTATAAATATTTTGGTACCGACAAAGTACCATTGCCCTTGTAACTATGATCCATTTGGTTTTCGAGAGAGAGAATATAAGAAGAGCGAAACTTTGGAATCTCATCACTACCCAGTACCCACAATTCAATCTGTTATAAAATTCAAGCTTTAGTCTGTCCATGTTTTTTCTGGGCAACCAAACACTTATTTTACACATACACCTGTTTTGGGTATCTATAATTTGTATTTTCCCATCTGGTCATTTTAAGAAAAAAAAAATGTTAAGAGATGTTAAATGGGTCAAACATGCGAATCCATGAATGCTGTTTCAGATCTATCCGGGTACTTTGATTTGTTTGAATTTATTTCTTTGGTTTTAATAAACCAAGAGAAAAAACTTGTGTCTTGAATTATTGAGTCAACACTGTCACTATTTATTACTATTTTTTCACTTTAAAAATGTCTAGTTTTGAGGTTGTAATACACCAACACGTGCACGGTGGCGCGTGTGGTGGCATGTTCCTTTTCGTCTCTTTAGAAATATTCTTGGGCAGAGCATGTCCCTCCTCCTCTGACACCTTCCAGTCGCTTATTTAACGCTTCTTTGTTGTCGTCCTTCACCTTCTTTCTGTAAAAAAAATGAGTTGGAGGAGATATGGGGCTGAAAGGACAATAATGCCCCTGCCAAAGTTGAGATTCGAAGCTCTCTTTTTTTAAAAGCAGTTAAGGCGAAAGGTAAAGCATATTTTGATTGATGGATGTGGATAGTGAAAAGGAGTGGTTAAAAGATTGCGTCTGCACTGTCCAAGAAAACAAAGCACACTGGCAGGATATCGCGGTCTTGGTGCTTGTAAAAGTTGGAATGGATGGTACTTTTTTAAATTGTATAGCCCATTTAGTATTCAGGAGTGGACTACGAGTAACATGGAATGGAAATCATCAGAAAAGAAATCACGTGACTATGGAAATCAATTAAGTCAAATGATATGAATGTGCTTTGCTCCGTAGACTGGTATCATGTCATCAGGGTTTCCAGTAAAAATTCTGCCATGCTTGGCTGGGCATTTGAACTGTATGCTAGGTCCTTAAAATGGCAGGTCTCGATCATTATCATAATCAAGTGGTTTGAGAGCTTATACTTTACCTATAATTATTTGAAGTAAAGTTGATATCCTAACTGCTCCCATTAAAGGGTCCCAGTGATAATGATTAACAGGCCCCTGATATGTGCATATTGTGGACCTGTTGAGACCATGTGGAAAGTAAAAACTGTCACCTCTTTACCAGCTTTTCCTGCGAAATAAAAAGATGGAGAATCCTGTCTGGGGTGGTTGGATCATCTTACTTCTTCATTACTTGTGTCTGGTGGATGTAATGCATGATTCTTCATCCGTTTCTCTTGATGGACCATGAGATATTAATAATGCAACACAGTACTCCATTTATTGTTTCTTAACTCTAGGTTTTCCAGCTTTTGGTGATCCAGATTTCTCGTTGCAGTGTTTTTCTTTTTATCTCTGAGAAAATCTAGTGGTGTATTTGGGGCAACATGTCGAGTTAGGCCAGGTCACTGTTGTGGGGGCATACTGTTTTCTTTATTATGTTTTCTTACATTAAAGTTGGCGTAGCAAGCTTAAGTCTGCATTATTTAGTAATGATCATTTCACAGGCTCTTGTATGTCCTCAAGGACGGAGGCTCATGTAATGTTTGCCGTCACAAGAAGTTGGCTTTTGCAAATGCTATTGCTACTCCAAGTTATTTGATTATATTTGTGATGCTACACTCGTTCTTCTTGAGCCTGCCCCCTAGAATATAGCTCATGGAACAAATTAAGATGTGAAGCCAGGATTTATTTCATTTCACAGGGGAGTTTTAAATGCTTCACAAGCCCATGCTTTGACCTTTTACGGTTAACTAGGAAGAGTTGAGTTAACATCCTGTAAAAATAGCTTGGAATATAGCTTGCTGGAGCTTGGTTCAGAGGTCACTGGATTTTTTTATTACAAATTGCGAATTAATTCTTACACCTATAATTGGACTGATATTTTGTTCATCATTTTCATTATAGCCTCCTTTTTTCCTTTCATTTTTTGAAGTTTCCCTTTTGTTTACATATTAAGTGCTGAGAATACAAATTTCCAATGACAGTTGCTTCCAGCTTTCTTGAACAAACATTGCTTTAGGTGCTTCAATGCCGAGATCAAGGTCAGAGAACATTACCCTGCTATCATTTATCAATATACTGTTTTTATATCACATGCATGCGCGTGCCCTGATTGAACTGTTGATTCAAGTTATTTGGATTAAGGGATTTTACTTGCTTCATACTTATAACATGCTTTAAAGAAAATTAAAAAGCTACAGGCATGTTTTTCTGTTAGAGTGTATTGATGCCTTTATATGTACTTTTAGATGTGATTGTACTTACAAAATTCTATTCTTCTATAGGATATCCAAATCTACTATCATTTCATTCAGCAAGGTTAAATTATTATAAAACTCCTGATGTATGCCAGAATCATAACATGAAGCATCAGTTGTTAAACTAGTAGCATGGTTTAAACTATGACAATACATTGATTTATCCGTCAGGAACTAGGCGTCATCGAGGAAGCCTACTTTATATCAGTTGGATGGCATGAAATGCCCCACCTAGTTTCAGGTTGAGGCTTTGTTGTTGTATGGTATAAAATGATGAAATCAACCACGAATCAAGTAGAACGAATTTATGTTATATAACAATTGTTTGACTTGGCTTCCTGATTGCATGCAGCTGCAAGTAATATCCGTAGTTTAGTAGGGTTACTCAACCTGTCCTTTAGATGCTCTATCCTCAATCACTGTGGATTCGTTCTATCATTTCCTTGTCAATTTTTTTCCTCAATTTAGTCTTGAATCAATTCAATTTACAATGAACATCATGACTGTCATGTTACATTACAAGTGGCATGCATTAAGGGTCTAAATTCTTTTTTTGTTTTGTTTTTTGAAAATGAAGTTGCTGTTCATTTTGATTTTGGCTATAATATTACCAGTAACTTATGAATTCATTGTGTCAAAAATGTCTGATGGCTATTTTGGTTTCCATTTTCTGTTTCATTGATAATTAGAGGATCAGAAATGCCTCAAAGGCAGTCTCCTCGAGGCTCACATCCGCATAGGACATCTAACTCTGATTCCGACCCACTGCATCATAGACCTATAACTGATCGAAGAGAGAAGCTAGGAGACCGTTGCTCCCCAAGAGGCTCCCAGCCTGACTCATTAAACCAAAAGAAGCTTGGAACCCGCATTGCAGATTTAGAATCTCAGCTTGGCCAAGCACAAGTAGAGCTGAAGACTCTAAAAGAGCAGTTGGCTTCAGCTGAAGCCGCAAAGAAAGAAGCTCAAAAAGAATTGGAGAAAAAAGCCAGGAAAGGTGCTGTTCCAGAGCCAGAGGTGGATTCCAAAAAAGCAGATAGCAACTCAGCAGATGAAGTTTCTGAAGACATCCAGCTGGAAACTGATGTTTTTGAAGTTCCAGTGGAGAAAAAGACTGTTGAGCCCAAGGTTGATCCTGGCGACCTGCTTGATCAGGTAGAAAAAGAAAACAACCCAACTGATATACCGGCTGAACCACTAGTGATTTCAGAGCCAGAAAAGCTGTCTTTTCATGACCTGGCATTGAAGGATGATGAGATAAATATGCTAAAAACCAAGCTAGAAGAGAAACAAAAGGACCTAGAGGTGTTTGGTATGGAAAATGAGAACTTGAAGAATCAACTGAATGTAGCAAATTTGTACATCTCATCTGCCAAATCCAAGGAAGAGGAAGTGTCCTTGAAGCTGGGCCAATTGGGAGAAGAGCTGGAAGCAAGTAAAGCAAATGCTGCCCAGTTAAAGGGGAAACTGGAAGCTGCCGAAGGAGCAAATGAAGCATTGGAGACAGAAATGAAGAAAATGAGAGTGCAGACAGAGCAGTGGAGAAAAGCAGCAGATGCTGCTGCTGCAGTACTTGCTGGGGGAGTAGAGATGAATGGAAGGATTCCAGAGAGGTGTGGCTCCATGGATAAGCACTTTGGTGGTGTATTCGAGCCACCAGTAGGAGGGTATGCTGGTTTCGTCGGATCACCTGGAATGGCTGATGATTTGGACGATGGTTTTGGTAGCGTGAAGCGAAAGAGTTCTGGGATCAAGAAGTTTGGAGACTTGTGGAAAAAGAAGGGCCAGAAATAAGATGTTATGTTGTTGAAATCCCCATGTACCCTTTTTTATTGTGTTGGTAAGGAAATGGTTGCTCGCCATTTCACATTTTGTTGTCAATGTTTATATATGTTGAAGTTACGTTATCTAAACCTTTTCAGGGATGATTTTGTAGCATGCTGTTGCTTTGGTGAAACTGGGAATCCTCCTAGCTTTCACAATAAAATATGTGGAGACCTCACTCCTTTTCAAGATACTTGAGCTTGAGAGGATATTGCACAGTGCAAACACCCAACTACCCCTTTGAATGATTGAAATTTGATGGTTTTTTCGGTGGTGAAGTGTCGGATACAATGACAAACTCCGCAGGTTTGAACTTCTTGATTGATAAGGGATTTGGATTTTGATATAACATGAGATTCTACCAGTAAAGCTACTCTGCTGCAACAAATTGATTTGGTAGTATTTGGTTGATTTTTTATCTAAAATAGATGGATACCTATAAATTCAAGAAATTGGAAAAGAAATTAAACGGTAACAAATTACGTTAAATTAATAATTAACCAAACACTTAGTGATAAAATTAAAAAAATAATTATTATAATGAATAAAATAATAATAAAAAAGCTAGGAAGATTCAAAGTTTATAGGTTTTTAGAGAAAAGCTCAAGTATCCAGGCCTGCAGCAGTCCACTCACTTGTTTAGATGTTATTTTTGTTTAAGTTTTACAAGGTATTGTTTACCTTTTAATACCTTGAAAAAAAAAATAGTAGACAACACGTGGCCCAAAGTGTTCAGATTTTAATAACCTTTCAGTCACTAAAAAATTAAGTTGGTCTCTTTCAAACAAAAAAAAAAAAACTAAATTTTAATCATAATATAGCTTCAAATAAAAACACATTAACACATTCTAAAACATATTTATAACAGCTAATAACCTAGAAATTAGCTCTAAAATTCACCATCAGTTTAAAATAAAATTTTTTTCAAGTTTCTTGTATAAGCTTTTTTTAATTAAAAAGAATTCATTAACACTAAAACTTTTTATTTTCATAGTTGAAATCATTTTTAACTAAATTTTTTTTATCATTAAAATCCAATTACATTCTCTCTCATCTCTCAAATGAGGAATAAAAACATAGAAAAAAATTAAATTTAAAATAAAAATTAAATTTTATAAATCATTAGAGATTTGAGGTTATAATTTGTAAAGTTAAAGAACCAAAGTATACTGTTAGCTTCAAGTTTTGAAAAATCTTTTTTTTTTCTGCTTTTTTCATCTTATTTCCCTAGCTTTAAATTTTTTCCTTCCTTAATAAATTTACTTTAATTGGTTATTAATTTGGTTATATAGGGGCATGATTGAAAAATCGCTGTGACTATATAATAATTCGTTCTGAAGAGTGGCGCGGGGAAAACTATGTCCCACTTGTGGGGACTATTATTATTATTATTAACAATTAACAAAACATTCAAGGCCTCAGGAACTAGTTATTTTTTAAAATTTTATTATCTAATATTAATTTTTTTAAATTATACTTTATATTTTTTCTATTGAATTATATATTGGTTTTATAAATTTTTTTTATTTCAAACTTTAATGTTATATATATTAGATTTGAGGCTTTATAAATTTTTCTTGATTTTTAACTTTCAACAACTCAATTTTTTTTATTTTTTTTATTTTATCTTTCCTTCAACAACTCAATTTTTTTTATTTTTTTATTTTATCTTTCAATATTGAGTTGTTTTAAAAATTATGTTTCATAATTTTTTTGATATATTTTCTATTGGATTATATACTAGTCTCATAGATTTAGGTGTTTTTCTTTTTAATCAATTTCATCCTTTAATATTAAAAATGGAGTTTCATAATTTTCTTTTATTTGTTTATATGAATTTATCCTGATCTAATGACTTAAATTATGGGTTTAATAGGTTAACTCGGGTTATTTTTTGATTGATTATTTCTCTATTTTATCCTTTAACTTTTATTTGGCTATACATTAAGCTTCATCATTTTTTTTATTGATTTTTTATAAGTTTACCATGATCTCATGAACCAGATCACAAGTTTGGTAAATTGACCTAGGTTAACTTTGCTTATTTTTTAGTCATTCTGTAATTGAATACTCATTTTAACTGGGTTTGTAACTTTTTGTATTTTATTTTTGTAGAATTATTCTGACATTATGATTCAAGTTTCAAGTCTGGCAAGTTGACCTGAGTTAACTTAATTTATTTTTTTGGTTCTTTTTTTAATTGTGTATTTTTTTTTAATTTCACCCTCCAACAACTCAATCTTCTTTCTTTCTATTTAATTTTTGTTTTCAATTTCATCCTTCAATATTTGATTGTTTGAAAATTGAGCTTCATAAATTTTTTTAATTTATTTTTTAGAGAGTTTTTCTAGTCTCATAGATTTATTTATTTTCTATATTTCAACATTTAATATTATATATATATTAGAAATGGAGCTTCATAATTTTTTTATTTGTTTTATAAGTTAGCTTAGGTTGACTTGAGTTTTTTTTGTATTTTTTAATTGATTTTTTTATTTCATCGTTCAATATTAAATTAATTAAAAATTAGGCTTTGTAATTTTGTTCAATTTGTTTTTTATGAGATTATCTAGATCTTATAACTTGGGTTATGGATTTTGTAGGTTAACCCAAATTAACTCAAGTAGTTTTTTTTCTGGTTTTAATTTAATATATTTTTTAATTTTATCCTTTAACATTAGATTAATTTGAAATTAACCTTCATAATTTATTTTTTTTAATAGGATTATTACAGTCTTATAACCTAAATCACACTTAATATGTTAACTCAGGTTAATCTAACATGTTGTTATCTTATTATTTGAAAAAAAAATCTTCAATATATCATTATATTAATATTTTTTAAAAATATCATCCTATTGCTTAAATTGTAAAATACCCTTATGAAGTTATGAAATTTGAGGGGAAAAAGATTCTTGAACTAAAAAGGTTCCAAAATCATAAATAATATAAGTTTTTGATTAAGGCTTTTATTTAGGATTTTATCAGCAAGTTGACCAGAAATGCCCTGAAAATCCTCACTGTTCGCTCTCTCCGTCCCTGCAAAGTAATAAAATTACAAAAACACTATAAGGAAAGAAAAAAGAAACAAAAAAAAAAAGCTAAAAAATATATATATAAAAAATACAATTCTCTCTCTCTCTCTCTCACACACATTTTTCACCACCAATGCTTTTGCCTCTTTCCGTCGCCGCCACCATCATATGCTTCCTTTACTATCTAAATTTTGCTTACAAAGAAAAATCAGAATTTTTTATATTCAAGAGAATATTAGTTTTCTCATAAAAATCGAGAAGGCATTTTACAATTTAAAACCTATTTATTTTGCATAATTGTTTTTAATAGTAACAGCGTAGGACGTCATGAAATAACTGGTTGTAGCGAGATGAGGTGATTGTGATGGAAAAAATCATAGCAATAAGATGATGGTAGAAAAAAAATGATGGTAAAAAGATATTAATGATGGAAGAGATGGTAATGATAGTGGAAGAGAAGAAGACGATGAATGATAAAAACAATAATTAAATGATTTTTTAAGTAGACGATGAATGGTAAAAACAATAATTAAATGATTTTTTAAGTAAAATATTATTTGTAAAATATTTTACTGTAAATAAACTAAGTTTAAAAATTAATTATAAAATATTTTTTATTGATTACTTTTACCATAAAATATTTTACAAAAAACAAATACAAGAAAATGTTTTTTTTAAAACCAACATGGAAAAATTGAAAACTATTTTGCAAAACAAAGGGACCTTAACTGACAAATATTTTACTTCCCATTGTACTTAGTGGCCATCGCTTACTGCTATAATTGCCATCTACACCGATGCTCATCATCAAGCAAATCAGAACCATTAAATCAAACAGAATCTGTAATTCCAAGCTGATTCAAATAGAGCCTGTCTCTTCTACTTTGCAGAGCAGAATCCAAAGAGCGAACGCCTCACATTGCACACCCAGAGACGAGCCATAGGAAAACTTCGCTTTCTAACGGCCTGGCATTTGCTTTCAAGTGGCATTTTCTCATACTCGACAAAATATTCCATAGCCATTGCCACTCGAGCGAAAGAGAGTGAAATAGATTTCCAAAACTTCATCAAGGAAAGGAAGCTATGTTGGTATACAACAATACCATTTACTAATCATCCTCATCATCACTGTCATAGTTCTGGAATAGGGATTGTAGCCCAGTGCTTGTATCATTGCCTTTACTCTCCTCCACTTGTTTATTCTCCACTGGCTTGTTACTGTCAGAAGATGCAACTGGTTTCTTTATCACAGATATCCTGATCATCGGGGATCCAAAACTGGGTTTACGATCATTCTGAGTCCCTGAACTGCTTGAATTTTCTGTTGACAACCAAATAAAATGAATGTCAGACTCACCTAGGATTTCATAATAACAGATCAATGTAACAAGTAAAACAACAGGTAACAATCCTAAGCTGAAAACTATGATCTTGGTAATGTGTAGGAAATCAAATTTTCTGACATCAATGTTTCTAAATACGCTAGCATTTGAAGGATATTCTTTTACATAGAGCATTGATAACTTCTATTTGGGACACCAACACACGTTTTTTCTTAATACATTAGACCTGTCATGCAGACCACCGGAAAGGCAGCGAAACATTTTGATTATTAAAATATACTTTTTGCAGGGTAAGTTTGATATTTAGCAGAAATACACTGAACATTTAGCCACAGAAGTGTGTTTGAGAATATTCTAACTATATATGCTGTTCCTGCCTCGTAGTTGTCACATTATTCAAACACCATAGTCAATCTATCGATATTAACAAATGAATAGCTTCATTCAATGTCAACAAGGAGCTTATATATAACTCATCTTTGCATTCCTTGCTTCTAATTATGAACTCTAATCTAACTGCACTTCAAGAATTTTAGTTCAGTAAAAATTAAGGAAGGAAAAGGTAACAGACAGATATAGAGTACCTTTGTTATTTGAGCTATCTGAAACACTCGCTTTTGTTAATGAATCTGTTGGTTTACTTGAAACTTCATCAGCAACTTTCCTCTTCTGCAATGCATGCAGGCAAAAGTTCAAGTTAAGGAACCCTTTAATCTCCCATAAATTGCTATATTGGAAGTTTAATACATTGCAAATGAAAAGAAGAGAAAGAAGGGCAAATATAAATGGTTCAATTATGCTCATGATGAGTGCAG